TATAATCGAGGATTTCCTGGTTTAAGACCTCATTGAACATTACATTAATGCCTTTAGTCTGGGCTTTAGACCAGCTTTCAGAAAGTTACAATAATGTGCCTTCTGAATGCCCCTCATATCAGGCTAACACGACAGTGAAACTATGTAAAGCGAACATCCAAACAGAATATTTACCTGAGTCAATTTTACACAATTGCATGTATTCAGAAGATATTTCAACACACACAAATGTGGTACTATTTCAGATATGATATACATTCCACATTACATACATACATTACATACCATAACCGCAGTATTATCACCATCCAAAAATATCGCACCAAGCATTTCAGGCGGTGTGTTTCTACTTTTCTAGAAATTTGACTGCAAAAAGAGTTGAAATGGACTCTCGTTGCCATCATATTTGCTTATTTTATGTGTATTGGAATTACAAAGATGAAGAGAGAGTGGATGAAGAGAGGAGGAAAGTATCCAATTATCCAATTATCCAATTATAATAGTTACACACAGTGTAATTAAAGAACAAGTTATCACCAACAACTGTTAATACATACACTTTCCATCTCCAATATTACTGGAGAGTTACATTGTACTCTTATAATACACGACGAGAGCCGTTCGTGTGTGGTGATAAAAGCCAATTATAATAACCAATACTAGTGGTGCACACAGCGCACGTGCACATAGTACACGTGCACGTGCGCAATATGTCATAGTAATTGTTTCGTTTATATCCGCTTGTCTCTTCCAATCTCTTAATAAAGTACTGTAATATCTGTAATTATTAAAACTTAGAAGTTAGTGCCGTGGATTATTACCCGATTTAGTACATTAAAATGCACTGATTGTCCAAAAATGGCATGATCAGAGATTCAGATCACGTAGATCACCAATTTAGTGTATTTAATCAAAATATGATGTATGATAATAATATGGTGCACAAAGCACACTGCACATAAACGTGATTATACCCATTTAGGAGATGTTGGGTGGTGAGTCCTAATGTTAAACTATGTTGGGTGGTGAGTCCTAATGTTAAACTATGTTGGGTGGTGAGTCCTAATGTTAAACTATGTTGGGTGGTGAGTCCTAATGTTAAACTATGTTGGGTGGTGAGTCCTAATGTTAAACTATGTTGGGTGGTGAGTCCTAATGTTAAACTATGTTGGGTGGTGAGTCCTAATGTTAAACTATGTTGGGTGGTGAGTCCTAATGTTAAACTATGTTGGGTGGTGAGTCCTAATGTTAAACTATGTTGGGTGGTGAGTCCTAATGTTAAACTATGTTGGGTGGTGAGTCCTAATGTTAAACTATGTTGGGTGGTGAGTCCTAATGTTAAACTATGTTGGGTGGTGAGTCCTAATGTTAAACTATGTTGGGTGGTGAGTCCTAATGTTAAACTATGTTGGGTGGTGAGTCCTAATGTTAAACTATGTTGGGTGGTGAGTCCTAATGTTAAACTATGTTGGGTGGTGAGTCCTAATGTTAAACTACGGGTAAATGCCTCACAGAATGGCTAGCCTCACAGAATGGCCAAATTTGTAAATGTTTTTGTAACTAATTTTTTATAAAAGACTGGTAGGTTTTGTGGATACCATATGAAACAAAAGTCTTCTGGCAACACTTCCTGTGGTGAAATCATTAACTAGGACCACATTTTCTGGCATAAATATGACTGTTTATGTAGAAATTTTGAGCACTGAAAAATTTGTTTTCAAATTTTTGAACTAAGTTTACATTTTGGTGAGAACTTCTGGCACCAGTATGACAGAAGATGTTCAAAGAATAGTATTCATCAAACAAAACGAACATTGTTCAATATAGGAAGAAAAAAATGCTAAAATGGCTACACGCCTCACAAAATGGCCAAAATATGCCTCACAAAATTTGTTTTCAAATTTTTGAACTAAGTTTGAATTTTGGTGAGAACTTCTGGCACCAGTATGACAGAAGATGTTTAAAGAATAGTATTCATCAAACAAAACGAACATTGTTCAATTTAGGAAGAAACAAAATGTTAAAATGGCTAAACGCCTCACAAAATGGCCAAAATATGCCTCACAAAATGGCCAAAATTTAAAACTCCTTTTATTCAATGAAACCATAAGTCTAAAGTATTCACAAGCTATTTATCATACAATAACACCCCAGATGGAGTGTTTTTACAGCCGAATGAAGGTTATAAATCATGAAATCAGGGAATATGAACAACGCCACACAAAATGGCCATTTCTGGTGTAGGAAATTATGCCCTTTTTATTCAGTTCTAAGAAATTTCACCTATATGGGGGTGTTAACAAGGCATATTAATACCAGCAGCATGCCTGAAACAAGAGCCAAAGGTTTTAGAAAAATAAAATTTTCTCGTTTTCTTTTTTTTTGCCATTTTGTCAGGCATTTTTTCTTTTTTGTGAAATAATTTTTCACAGCTCAGTTTTTTCGTGAGTTTTAGGTTATTACCCCATTCCTTAATAGGTTTCCTAAGAACGTGTGGTGATAGAAATTGAAAAAGTATCTCCATCAACAAAATTATAGAAATTTAGATTTGGCCATTCTGTGAGGCATGTTTTTTTGGAGGAAGATTTTCCGGCCAATTTTTCTCAAAGAAAAAATGGTTATGAGATTAAATGAACCCCCGGGAAGAAAAATATGAGTGTCAACTTAGCTTCTTATGAGATAAAAACTGGAATAAAGTGTGTTTTGTGACTTTGAGAGACCTTCCTTTTTTTTGGCCATTCTGTGAGGCAAATACCCGTATGTTGGGAGCTTTCAGTTTTGGTACACTTTATAACTTTATAACTATTAAGTTAAATGTAGAGATGTACTCAAGATTATTGTCTCTGTATTCTGTAGTACTACTTACCATGACCGATTAAGTCCTGTGTTACAGTTACACACTTCACACAACAGCCTGCTGGGTAGAATGTACAGTGTACATTCTACCCAGCAGGCTAGTTGTGTAAATTGTACACTACGTCATAATGAAATACAGTAAGTACTTTTCCACAGTACAATTCTAAGTTATGTACTATTATCAGTCACTGTGAAAACGTTTGGGCTTTTTTTCTCAGCCACTGAGTTAGTGCCCCATTGAGATAATTCTTTCCACTATCACTTGCTATCATCATCATTCGAGTAATATATATCAATACAAGTACACCGTCATGAACACTATAAAGTACACTGCAAAGTACAGTACATGATGTACTAGGTGTACGTAAGTCACAAACTGGACACTGAGTACACTACTGCGTGTATTACACTACATGATAACACTACACTTTACAGGTTAATCTACTACCCTTAGTGGTAGTGGCCTTGCTGTACTATCATTTTACTAAATAATAAATATAACATGTGGACTGTGGAGGATGATGGTAAATCAAACAAAGCAGAAGCTAAACAACTCACTACATATATACACTGTTCACACAATAGATACTGAGCGAAATACACGATATAATACACCCTAGCCACGAAAAGCTAATAAAAGCTGGTAAAGCTGGAAACAGAAATATGATACTAAGAAGCAGATATTTATTATTTAGAGGCCACCTTTTTGTGCTACTTACTAACTAGAAGTGCCATGATCTGATTTCCTGCAACCGCAGCCTTGGCCTCAGCAGATCCCAATATTAAATTATATGTATATTAATTCATAGTGTATGACAGTGTGTATTCAGTGTGACACTTTATAATAATAATAATATTCTATAGTCTATACAGCATATAATTATCATGTATCACATTGTAGTATGTAATAAACATTTGTAGTAGTGTAGGATTGTTTGAATTTCTTTTTGCTATGTTTTATAATATTTATTTGTATAATTTGTGAGTGTTTCTCCCGCTTTTCTTCCCTTGCGCAGCAAGCCCTGTCTCTTGTAAAAACAACCTTGAAAGTTTTGTAGATACATATAGTTTCTACACCTTTATCCTCTGGTCCCTAGGGTCAGCTGATCCCGGGCCAGAGGAAAACTACCGACTGCCAAGGTCTGACGCCTAGGCAGTCGAGACCTCTTATTGAGACCCTTTATAATAATAATAAAATTTGGTAGCTTAAACACAAACTCTAAGCCCAGTGGATAAACCACAAAACTTATGCTCTATTGTGTGAAACAAAGATACTAGATCAAGATAACTATCAAGGAGTGTATGCATAGGACATAAAAAGTTTTGGAACGAAGATGACATGCTTGTGAAGCGAGCTAACAGTCTAATTGCTAATAAGTTCAAAAAGATCATGACATTAGGTTGCATCCTAAACAGTTTAAGCAAATAACATAAAGTTATTATATTATAGCAGATGTCAAGTGACACATATTATTTACATTTTCTGGGCTCTGGACAGTATTTTACCAGCTTCTTGATAGTTTTATATAGTTTTATAATGCAATAACTGCAGTAATCAATGAAACAATGGTTATTAAGCGTGATATTGTGTTTATTGAACAATAGAAAATAAATGTTGGCTTCCATTTAGCTACCCCAGTTGAGGTACTGTTCTACACCCAGCAAAGTAACTTACTTTTAAAATACATTATACAATACAAATCAGTGGTGAACAAACTGAACAAGCAATTTATCTCACTGTACATTATTTAACATAAATGACGAACAAAGTCAACAAACAATTACCCTTACTGTAAGTGCATTACATAATATAAATGGTGAACAAATTGAAGAAGCAAAATTCGCCACTTCCAGCAGTATTATTTAACGATTTAATAAATAATAATACTAAACACGTGATTACAACTAACAAACACGTGATGATACTTTAAAGCTAACTGAACTCACCTGTAACCACCGTAACTATGGTAATACTGATTCTTCTTACTTTCTTATTTATATGAACCTTCTCTCCTAAAGAATACCAGAAAATTTCGATCAATAGTTTGTTATTTAGAATATTTCTATAACCAGTAATCTTATGAGTTATCATGTTTTGTCGGTTCATCTATTTGAGATTTCCAATATTAATCAGTAAAGAACAGTTTCAATAAAACGCGTTTGTTAGAGTACGAAAATTAGATGTATATATTAGGGTTGAATTAATGAATAATAGCATTTTAGAAAAACATACGTATTATGATAGAATCTCATCTTCCCGGAAAAATTGAATGTCAAAATCGATTAAAATCTTTTTACAACTGTGTTGGTAATTTACTGTAGAATCATGTGTAAATTCTCTGAGAAACCTAAAAAGAATCTCTGTGTAAATTCATAACTTAACTTTTCATTTAAAAACTATTTATTTACAATGCCTCTGCCCCCAAAACATAATAACATACTTGAGGACTTGCTAGCTGCGAGAAGACGATGAACATTTGACCCACACGACAGTCAAACCGATTAAATGTTTGCTGTCACGTGATTGGACGTGCATTGCCTCTCCCCACATAGTCAAATTTCTAAATCAGGTGTATTGACCCTTCAAATTGATAAAAATCGATAACAATTATTCTTCAATGAAAATTAAACCATCATTCACTTTCATCCCGCCAAAATTTACATTCTTTCAACTTTTTAGATAGTCAGAAACAATTAATAGATATATCAATGATAATGTATAATTTGATCATTATCGCACACGTCAAAATTATCACTCATCAGCCTATTGAAATTATATCTCATGAATCAACTTTCTAGTAACCAAGTGACTCTGACCACCATACCAATAAGTCTATATATGGTTATTGGCGGCGTGCCACATTTAAAAAGACTTGGCTACCAATTGAACCCTCAGCACATCCGTGAGGTAAAATCCTAGCTGTGTGTTGATAATTTAATCAATATTAAAGTAAACGTGAATAACACACATGTAAGAGGGCCACATTAATAGACACGTGTTAAAACCACGTGGTCAATGTCAGGCCCACGTGCCAAAACCACGTGGTAAATGTCAGGCCCACGTGCCAACTCATAGCAGCCATGCACAATTCAGATCTGATAATTTGTTTTTTGCTGTACCAACCATTCTTATAAATCAATATTAAATCTCATCATTCAATCAAATATTACATTTTATCAAGCATCTTAAATTATAGCCGTTTGCTACAAAAAACAATCATAATATGAAATCATTTTCGTCCATAATTTGTTTTATTTTCACCGTGTGGGAAAACACGATGATAAAACACGATGAACATTCTTACATTAGTTATTAATTGTTCATTACGACTACCATCATTCGTATTATATTATTACTGTTGAAGGTGTTACTTCCGTGTGGAGGCAGTGCCCGGGTTAACAAATAAAACTGCCCAATTTAAATATGTTTAAGAATTTTCTAAAGAATCGCATGGTATATATTTAAACTATTACTTTAGAGGATAGAGCGGAAGTTACACTGCCTACATATGATCAGTAACGTCCTTCGGTTACCGTAACCTCGTGGTGTGACGTCATACCACGTGGTGTGACGTCATACCACGTGTGGAGGCAGTAACGACCTTCGGTTACCGTAGCCCTGTAGTACTGAGATAATAATATACTATCAAAATGTTGCCAATCGTGTAAATAATGTATTAACTTATTAAACATACCTTAAAAATGATAAGTATGCAGCGTTTACACGATACAGCGCTTTAACGCACGTAGCGCCATGACTACGGCGCGTACAGGTGTCAGCATGTTAAACGCATGCACAAGATCAAGTGTGGAATGTTTTAACACAACTATCTAACAAGAAGTAGGTTTACAGCAGGCTTATTTTGCAGTGTAATTAGTAAGATGGTAGAAATACGGGATAATGTCCACGGTGATATCAGGGATATTTGGGATATCCGGGATATTTGGGATATCCGGGGTTAAGTACACGCGTTATATTATGGTTTCTGAGGGTATTTAACAGAGCGGGGAATTTCTAGAACTACGTTCAATAATTTAAGTAACTAAAGAAACAACGCAGGCTAATCTGCTAATTAAATTATAATAGGGTATAATAACTGGAGAATTATGGGAAAAAAACTGTACAGTTAAGGAGAGAAAAATTAATGCAGATCAAGGGGAATCAACAGGGAATTACTACAAAACTGAGGACTAATTACATTATAACCAAACCCATCATGTGTATTGTACGTATTTAATCGAGTGTCATCATCATCATCATCATCATAATATAATGGAATAAGAAAGTGTCTGAACGATATCAATACTCTCAATCATGGTACTTAATTAATTGGAAGATAATTAGTTAAAACGCTGAGCTAAAAACTTCAATTTGAAGCTAGACCGTTGATTGGACAGATTAAAGAGCTCACTGTAGTCATAATACTCCATGAAACGTGACGTCATACCACGTGGTTTGACGTTACGTCGAATCAAGAAAAGCAAAACTCGGAAATCATTTACCTCGATCCTGATCGAGCGATTAAAAAGATCCAATTCTAAAAGTTCAGTCCGAAAACTCGACAATAGGTACACATTCGTTAAAAACACTTCCCAAAACACACACAAAACAGAGTTTCTGAGGTCCAATCACAGTTCACACGTAATCACGTGACACTAAGTCAAACCACGTGACACTAAGCCAAACCACGTGACACTAAGCCAAACTACGTGATACTAAGCCAAACCACGTGATACTAAGTCAAACCACGTGACACATTCATTCAAACAGTATTCTCTTCTCGGGATAATGGCGAGTACTTAGGTTTAGCGAAAGGATTCCAAACCTTGTGATAAAACGTATACAAAAAGAAGGACAGGGCGTATCCTCCTAATATATCGATCAAATAGTGATGATGTGAGTACAAAGCCGCCCACGATATTAACAGGACATGACACAGCCCAAACTTCCAGCCTCCGTGGGCAACCCACGAGCCGTTCAGGAATATGATTGTCGGGAAGGCGGCGTGAAGGGAGGGAAAAGAACCGTGTGTAACGGGAGCGTTGGAGTAGATCTCCCGAAACAAGGGCTGTTTGATCATTGCGTCTATCCGCTGGAACCCTGCTTCATTGAACGCGTAGCTGATAAGGTGACCGTCTGCATCGTACACTGCGGACTCGTTAAACCAGGGGGGCGAGCAGGGGAAAGTGAACTGGAAGAGCACTGCTAGGAACGCTACCTGACCTCCCAGCCAAAAGGCGCGCATTGCCGGCTCTATAGTGTTACCGAGTTTAGCTCTGTGGTAGTAACAGTACACTGGGTAACCGAAGGGTAATATGAAATGAGCAAGGTAGGGAAACGCAGCCAACACGTCCAATACTGGGTGAGTCCAGCGGGACACTATTTGATGGGGCAGACACCCGAACAGAAAGTATTCTATAGCTGGCAGATGGGTAAAGGGTTCAGCATGGGTCCGGTTGAAAAGCATCTGCCAAAACGAGAAGAACTGGAAGAATGCCATGAACAATGTGGCGGGGATGCAGGATATTAACGCTGTTTTCAGCGGGTAATCCCCGATGTAGATAGTCCCGGGCATTCTGCCCACATATTTGAACAGCTCGCCCTTTTTCAGGCTCCATTCCGCCTCCGCCACATCCCGAACGGACGTAGCGAACCTCTCCCATGACTCCCATATCTTTTGTCGGTTCATCAGTTTTACTCCGCCTCGGCCTGCTAGTTTCTCGTCATTCTTCTTGCTGAGATCATGACATAACCGCATGACCTGAGAAGAGAGGGAGGGGTTAAAACACGGAGTTCACTGTACTCATAATACTCCATGTAACGTGACGTCATACCACGTGGTGTGACGTCACGTTAGAGGGAGGGGTTAGAACACGTACACGATTCCTGGACAATCAGAATCGTATTATTTTAGTAATGATAATAAAAAATAATCTTAGTAACAGCAAATATTTTCATTATTCTACGGAATTAATAGATTTATATTTTTTGCAAGACTGCGCGCGAATAGCTAAATATTCTACAGTCAGATTTTCAAGAAAACGGCAAGGAATGATATAATCAGTAAGCAAACTACCACAAATAAAGCAAACAAATTAAAAAAGCGACAACAGCAGAGCCGACAAAATATACTTTCTGATGGAAAAATAAAATATTACATATTTCTCATGTGATGAAACCTTGGCAAGAGCTCAAAATGACGACGAAATTTCTCTCCAATACTGCAATCAAACTTAAATCCGTAGCTTCGATGAGATTTGCATTATGTTGCGTGCATACTAAATATGCATGGCATAATGATCATTATATCAATTAGGTTAAATGGGTTTAATGAGACTGACAAATTACTTTACAATGGCTGCCGCGTAATAATCATCCCTAATATTATTAATCTAAAGTAAGGAGTAAGGAGCCTCACAAGCTGTCGAATGTAAGGACTGTAGAAGAAACTGTGCAAAAGAACGAAATGCCACGGACGAGGTTGAAAAGAGTGAAGACTAACGACAGAAGAGTGTCTCTCTCTCTCTCTCTCTCTCTCTCTCTCTCTATCTCTCTCTCTCTCTCTATCTCTCTGTGTGACTCAACAACAGCAGACGTTTGAATTATTACAATCCATTCTACAAAATCATGAGAAATTAGTGTGTGACACTTGGAAATGTAAAAGATCACAATGATCAAAGTCAGATCAGAATTAGCAGCAGCAGACAATGTGTTCACAATGACGATAAATTCAGCTGAATATTATATACTATATATAGTAAGCTGAATAACTACACAAGTATTAATTGTGCTGACTAAAAGCGCTCACTAACCATTCACGTTTATCCCACGGTGAATTTTAATGAATAAATTATTTTACATAATTCATATATGCACATAGTGACCTTAATTTGCTGAATTATGTAACCGACATGAATAACGCATATATATAAAGTATATGTGACCGTGAGCTACAAAAGGTGCCATTTCAACACAAAAGTGCAGGGTATTTAACAGTTTGTGAGGATGTAACGAAATTAAGGTATAATTCAGTTAAACATAGAAATGAGAAAAGCAACTATATACGCTGCACTTCCGAATAGCGTAAGTAATGAGGTAGGTTACACAGGTTATACAGCTGTAGGTTATAGTAATATGTAGGCATAATATATATAGTATATAGTAATATAAATATGTGATGCACTATAATGAATGTATAAATTGTATAATGATGTGAAGGCAGGCCACAGGAAATGAATCGCATTTCATTACGAATATTGGTTTTGAGAATAATAGGTAAATTGCACTTAAACCATTAACCAAATGCAAAGATCCATATAAGTCATGATTTCCCAAAAATCAACCAAAAGCTAAAAGGAAAACAGTACTGAAACATTGAAATTAACTGGCATACCGTAAAACTCTGTAACGAAACAGGAAAAACTTAATTAACTTTTAAAGCGCCCCACGTGTAGTTTTATAACCGAGGTGGTTGGAAGAGGGTTGCACGTGCAGCTGGTGGGGTTGCACGTGCAGCTGGAGGTGGAATGTTATTAGACGTGGAACTGCTGTCATGTGGGTAGGCAGTTCACACTGAACATTTCTGACCACTGTCGTGAAATGACGTGTCACGTGTAACTATTATAGATGAGGCAAGATGAGGCTGTAACGTTTTGATATCGAGTTGTTTGGTCATTGCTTCAATTTAAAAATAAAAATTATGGACGTGATCACAACATTCAACATGTCCTCTCGTCACAAAGTAAAAACAAAACCAACAGTAATTATCCCGTCTGTATTTACAGTACTAATAGATTGCTCGTAATAGCGGCAAAATGTTTATCACATTACTGACAACAGTTCACTATGGTAATGATATGATTTATACGATTAAGAAGTTATCACATTATGTGGTCGTCACGGGATTTAGCTGGTATAATGCATGTTATCTAATGTCCATTTCCAGGAATTTTCGGAGAAAACAGTACCACTTATACCACGTACTAAAGGAATGTTTCCAAACTATGTCGGGGGCTAACTGAGCTACAAAAGGAAACTAGAAACTAACGCTACGAAACTGTTATTCTTGGGTCCGATAGGGTCACATGCTCTTTATCCTTCAGTTTTATGGATTACCGAACAGAATAGAATATCGGAGAAGCAGCTGTTTATGCGTGGAAATGTTGTAGCGGAATTCTTGAATAAAGATGAATATAAGTTAAACAATTTGAATTTTTCATAAAATTTAAATGCTTTGAAACACAAGGAAATATCATGTTTGGCGTTATATCCAAAATATATTCATGATATAATGTAGCAGTGGTCTGTTCTGGGAATTGGAGATGGCGAAATCCGTCACAATTTCTACTAAAATTAATTTTGGCAGGGTTCCGATTCCCAACGAGACCATAATAGGTTAAGACTATAGCTAGCTAACAAATAATATAGATGAGTTGGCTGGAAGGAACGGTATAGATCGGTAAGAGAAAGTCAAACCAATTCAGGGTTTTAAATCGATTATGTCATTCTAGTTGTCACCATATTTGTCACAATGCTGGGAAACACGACTATATTACTAAAAAGATCAATTGTTTCAAACGCGAGCAGGATACCTAAGTAGTCACGAAGAATAGAATATATTTTCCGGGCGGAAATATAAGAACCCTGATAACGGAAATGTTCAAGGAAAATAAAGGAAAATAAAACTTAATCAAATGAAAATATTACTAAATAAAAAGCAACCAAACATAAAAGCAGCATGGCAAATGATCTCACCACATCAGTACACGCGCAGTAGTTAAAAGCGCGTCTTATCATTAACTAACTTACAAATCAGCAGTGTAAACCCATGTCAACACATAAAATAAAGTCAACGTTTCAGCACTCAAATAATTTCAACACCCACAACTGTCAGCTACACGAGAGCTAGAGAGAGAGAGACAGGGAGAGAGACAGAGGGAGGGAGAGATGATGACAGAAGTCTCGTGTATTAATATACTACAGGTCATGTACAGTGTTCTTATCTAGAGACAAATGTTACATCGAACTATTGAAAGTAATCAAATTCCCAGTATATATATGTAAGTAAAGTATCTCAGCTAAAGTGAAACTGAAAGCAATCTTTGTTCGGTAGTTTCAATACTGGTTCGACAGTAAACATTAAACAGTAGATAATATAAGCAGTTGATACAATGATTTTATTACAAAAGATGAGATAAAGAAGGATAAAGATTCTGTTTAACCGGATTTTAAACCACAATGGCCGGTTTTTGCCCAATAATGGCCACAATGGCCGGTGTTTACTCAATACAATACCCAGAGCCGCACGGACGAACTAGAACTGCTGACTCGAGAACAAAAGCTCACCAACTATATACCTATATACCGAATACAACACAATGCTGTGTGGCTTATAGATAATAAAAAATAAATAACGCTTACACTTTTTACCACAAACAATGCGATTTACATCATGAAGTTGGGTGTGGTACAACAAAAGAGAGTTATTCAGCAGAATCGCTTTCATTTTATGTAATACGGCATTTAGATATTTGCTAGTTCATTATTCATTATGTCATTGCTCGTAAGTTACCGAATAAAAGTTGACAGAAATGAAAGTGGTCACGAATAAAGTTGGTGGCTGAGTTGTGCAACTTATTTACCAGGTTCTAATAAAGTTGGTGGCTGAGTTGTGCAACTTATTTACCAGGTTCTAATAAAGTTGGTGGCTGAGTTGTGCAACTTATTTACCAGGTTGTGCAACTTATTTACCAGGTTTTATGAGATTGTAAAAACAAAGAGCACCAAACAGCTACGCAACGTATGAAGATGGGCGTGGTGGAACAAAGACAGCAATCCAGTAGAAATACTTGCTAATTGTATTGTAGTGGTGGTTGCTTGGTGGTTGCTTATTATATCATGGTATGTTACCTATAATATAGAACTTGCTAATTTTATAAAGGTGGTAAGTAATATAGAAAATAGATGATAATATAATTTATAGTGGTTGATATAAGTAGTAAAAGTACTTAGACAAAGACGATTAAAAGCAATAAAGTCTGCAAACAACTTGTATGTGATGGAGGACACGCATCTCATCTCAGAACTATATAATAATGAAAGGATCGAACACGGATAGCAAGAATCTATATCTATCATCAGGTATTTGTATTTTATTGCTGTATTTGTATTGCTGACGTACTGGACACAGTACAGCGACCCACGTACTACCTACATACCCACATACCACCCACATACCACCTACATACCACCTACAGTTGACCAATCCGGAACAGCTGTGGGGAGTATTTAGGGGGCCATATTTCGTAAATACCTAAAAGCGATAAAGCATAACAAGGAGACTAGTTACAGTGGTAAATAAATCAGACCTCAGATGTTAACAAACTAATGGTATTGGTATTGGACTTAATACCTGCTGTTATCTGACACTGGAAGGCAAGAAAAGATGTTAGAGATTGAGAAATTGAGCTATATATCTTGAGAAGTGACACTAAGAGGAGGGAGGCCGCTAAATGCGGGGAGGCCGCTAAATGCGGGGATTACCAGACATAACCAGACTGAGAGCTGATGTTAAACACTGACAATTATAATTTAGACTTAGTGCCTAGTGGACACTTAACGGCGCTACATTAAACGTAGGTAACGGCGCTATTTTATCATCATTGTAACATGAATTACATAATTTAGCGGTGTAGGAACAGGATGGAATGTTACGAATAACCTAATCACTGTGGTTAACGTGCAGGTAAATTTCAACTAGCA